ATAAACAAACGGGACTTCATCAAAATAAGAAGCTTCTGCACAGCTAAAGAAAACATCAGCAAAATGAAATTGGAACCAACCGCATGGGAAAATATATTTGCCAATAATACCTTGGACAAGGGTTTGATCTCCCAAAATATATAAAGAACTCACACGACTCCACTCCAGGAAGACAGACAATCCAATTAAAAAATGGGCAAAGCACCCGAACAGACACTTCTCTGAGGAAGACATACACAGGTCCCAGAGACATATGAAAAGATGCTCACCATCACTAGCCATGAGAGAAATGCAAATTAAAACCACAATGAGATACCATTTCACACCAGTCAGAATGGGCATCATAAACAAATTAACAAACTACAAGTGTCGGCGAGTTTGTGGAGAAAAGGGAACCCTAATACACTGTTGGTGGGAATGCAGACTGGGATAGCCACTGTGGAAAACAGTGTGGAATTTCCTCAAAAAGCTAAAAATGCAACTGCCTTTTGACCCAGCCAATTCCACTGCTGGGATTATATCCTAATAATCCCAAAACACCAGTTCAAAAGAACCTGTGCAACCCAATGTTCATAGCAGCACAATTTACAATAGCCAAGTGCTGGAAGCAACCTAAGTGCCCATCAATAAATGAGTAGATCAAAAAACTATGATGCATTTACACAACGGAATACTATGCAGCAGAAAGAAAGAAAGAGTGACTACCCTTCACAACAGCATGGATGGAACTGGAGAGCATTATGCTAAGCAAAATAAGCCAGGGGGTGAAAGACAAATACCATGTGATCCCACCTATAAGTGGAACCTAATCAACAAAAACAAACAAGCAAGAAAAATATAACCAGCAACATTGAAAGAAAAAACAAACCAACAGTAACAAGAGGGGAGGAGGGGAGGAGGGAAGGAGGTAATGGGGATAAGAAGGGGAAGGGTCAAGTCAAGGAACGTGTGTACATGACCCACGGACAAAACCAAAGTGGGGAAGGATTGAGGGTGGGAGGTGGAGGGGGGCAGGGGAAAGTGGTGGCAGGAAAATGGAGACAAATGTATTTGAACAATAAAAAGAAGTGAAGAATAGAGAGGTTGTCATGTAAAAGGATTAGCTACTAAACATGTTGTCCTCTTCTAAAAAAAAAAATAGAGAAAGAGCAAAGGGACAAAGTGAGTACAGTATGCTTCCATTCATGTGCTTTACAAAAAGATACATTTTTTTATTGAATCTTTATTGTATTTTTTTCTCATTACCCTTTAGTCCCCTTATACTCCTTCCCCCCAGCAATCCCCACACTGTCATCCATGTCTATGAGTCCTTTTTCTTTTTTGCTCAGTCCTTCCACCACCCTCTTACCACTCACCTCCACCTCCACCTCCACAACTAGCTGTCACCCTGCTGTCTATCTGGGAGTCTGGCCCCATTTTCATTGTTAGTTCGGTTTGTTCATTAGATTCCACATATGAGTGAAATCATATGGTTTTTGTCTTTTTCTGACTGACTTATTTCACTTAGGATAATGTCCTCAGGTCTATCCGTATTGTCACAAAGGGTAAAATTTCCTTCTTTTTCGGAGCTGAGTAGTGTTCCATTGTGTAAATGTCCCATAGTTGTTTTATGCACTCACTGATTGATGGGCACTTGCTCTGCTTCCATATCTTGGCAACTGAAAATAATGCTTCAATGAACATAGGGGTGCTTATGTTCTTTTGAATTAGTGTTTTGGGTTCCTCTGGATATATTCCTAGGAGTGGGATTGCTGGGTCCAAAGGAAGATGCATTTTTAACTTTTTGAGGTATCTCCATACTGCTTTGCACATCCGTTGCACCAGGCTGCATTCCCACCAACAGTGCAAAAGGGTTCCCCTTTCTCCACATCCTCGCCAGCACTTGTCTGTTGATTTACTGATGATAGGTATTCTGACAGGTGTGAGACGGTATCTCATTGTGGTTTTAATTTGCATTTCTCTGATGATTAGTGATTAGTGATGTTGAGCATCTTTTCATATGTCTGTTGGTGACCTGTATGTCCTCTTTGGAGAAGTGTCTATTCAGGTCCTTTGTCCATTTTTTAATTGGGCTGTTTGGTTTTTGGTGTTGAATTTTGTAAGTTCTTTATAAATTTTGGATATTAACCCCTTACCAGATATATACGCAAATATATTCTTCCATTCTATGTTGTGTTTTTGTTGATGATTTCCTTTACTGTGCAAACACTTTTTTGTTTGATGTAGTCCCATTTGTTTATTTTCCTTTTGTTTTCCTTGCCTGGGGAGGTATATCCAATAAAATATTGCTATGAGCAATGTCTGAGATTTTGCTGCCTATGTTTTCTTGTTGATTGTTATGGTTTTGGGCCTAACATTTAAGTTTGTGATCCATTTTGAATTTATTCTTGTGTGATCTAGTTTCATTTTTCTGCACTTATCTGTCCAATTTTCCAACACCATTTATTGAATAAACTATCTTTAGCCCATTGTGTGTGCTTGTTTTCTCTCTCAACTATTAATCAACTATAAAGGTGTGAGCTTATTTCTGGGCTCTCTATCCTGCTCTATTGATCTGTTTTCATGCTGTACCAAGCTGTACTATGGCCTTACAGTATAGTTTGATATTAGGTAGTGTATTCCTCCAACTTTGTTCTTCTTTGTCAGGATCACTGTTGCTATGCAGGGTTGTTTGTAGTTCCATATAAATTTTTGAAATATTTGTTCTAGTCCTGTGAAATACATCGTTGGAATCTTGATAGGAATTGTGTTGAGCCTATAAATTGCTTTGCATAGTATGGACATTTTAATGATACTAATTCTTCCTATCCATGAACACGGTATGTGCTTCCACTTTTTTGTACCTTACTTCTTTCTTCAGTGTCTTATAGTTTTCTGTGTACAGCTCTTGTACATCCTTGGTTAGGTTTATTCCTAGGTATTTTATTCTTTTTGTAGCAATTGGGAATGGAATTGTTTCCTTAATTTCTCTTTCTGTTAGTTCATTATTGGTATATAAAAATACAACTGATTTCTGGATATTAATTTTGTACCCTGCTACTTTCCTGAATTCATTTATCAGTTCTAGTAGTTTCTTGGTGGAATCTTTGGGGTTCTCTATGTACAGTATCATGTCATCTGAAAATAATGATGGTTTTACTTCTTCCTTTCCAAGCTGGATGCCTTTTATTTCTTCTTCTTGTCTGATTGCTGTGGCTAGGACTTCCAGAGCTATGCTGGATAAGAGAGGTGAAAGGAAACATCCCTGTCTTGTTCCCAAAACTTATACGTTTTGCCCATTGGGTATGATGCTGCAGTGGGTTTGTCATATATGGCCTTTATTATGTTTAAGTATGTTCCCTCTAATCCTCCTTTGCTGCAAGTTTTTATCATAAATGGGTGCTGGCTTTATCAAATGCTTTTTCTGCATCTATTGATATGATCATATGGTAGTTGTTACCCTTCACTTTTTTTATGTGGTGAAACACATTTATTGATTTGTGAATGTTGTACCAACCTTGTATTCCCAGAATAAATCCAATTTGATCACAGTGTATGATCTTTTTGATGCATTGTTGCAGTTGGCTTGTTAATGTTTTGTTGAGGATTTTAGCATCTATGTTCATCAGGATACTGGCCTATAATTTTCTTTCTTTGTAGTGTTTTTATCTGGTGTTGGAGCTAGGATGATGCTGGCCTTGTAAAATGAGCTTGGGAGCCTTCCTTCCTTTTTTATTTTATGGAACAGCTTGAAAAGGAGAGGTGTTAGCTCTTCTTGGAATGTTTTGTAAAATTCATCTGTGAAGCACAGACTGTCTCTGGACATATACACCAAACAGAGATGAATGACTGCTTCTGGGGAGGGCAAATAGGAAACTGAAACATGCACCTGACATTGTGTGTCCCTTGCTAATGTTTAAAAACTGTATTCTTTTTACTATGTGAAGTTTTTCTTATAAAATGAATTTCAAATTTTATATCCCCAGCAAGACCCTATCTCTGAGCTCAGATCTGTATTCCAACAGCCCCCTTGTATTTCTCACAGGTGCTATCACCCCAGTAAATACCAAACCAGACTCAAGATCTTCCCCACAAAACCTGTCCCGGTCTCCAAGGCTCCTGCCACTCTCACATCGCCATCCCTTGCTCAAACCCAAAGAATGCATTGTTCTCAACTCTTCCCTCTCCTTCCTCCACATCCGGTCGGTCACAAGTGCTGTGGGTGCTTTCCCTTCTCTGCACCCACATCTGTTCATCTTCACCAGCAGCGCCCTAAATCAAGCAATCATCCTCTCTCACTGGGCTTTGCCATGGTCATTAATGGGTCTGCCAGAGCAGCTTTGCCCCCTTCTCACAATCTCATCATCCTGGTCCCTACTTAAAGGCTTTTGGGAAGTAACATGATCAGATGGATTAGAAAGGGGTCAGAATTCTCAACAGAGTCTACATGATCTTGCCTTTTCTGGTCCTTTTTCACATCATTCTCCCATTTCACTCTTTACACTCCAACCATGAGTCTTCTTTTAGTTCCCCACACTTTTCCTCAGAACCTCCCTTGCTGGGTCCCCTGGAAGGCTGTCCTCTTGCCCCATCTCTCCAGACGCCACCAACACTAAGCTTTTACTGAGTTAACTACCTCTCACCCTTACAGTCTCTATTTAAATGCATTTTCTTCAGAGCATCTTTACCAAGCTTCCAGACTAGGTCAGGTCCCCCGTTTTATGCTGGCTTAGGATCCCTTCTTTATAGAACATAATGAAACAATAATTAATTATAAAATATGCTGCTTCATATGTATCCTTCTAGTAGCCTGTGTAAGGACAAGAATAGTTTTACTCACTGCTATATCCCTAATGCCTAAAACAACACCTACAAAATAAACATGTGTTGAATAAAAGAGCAGGGGAACAGAATGAATGGGAGAACTAGAGGAAAGACCAAAGGCCATGGGTCATCAGAGGCCAGCAGTGGCGTCCAAAAGGCAGAACTTCCTGGCTCGTGCTTAGCATTTGTCTACTCACCACACTGCCTGGGGACAGGAGCTGGCCTGACAAGGCTTGGCTGCTGTTGTAGCCAGAGGTGACACCAGAGGAGAGGCTTCCATTGGAGGTGGTGCACAGGGAGCTGGGGGTGGCCAGGGTGTGCAGTTTTTCCTCCTCCTGGGAAGGACAGATCACTGTCAACCAGCTTCTGGTGAACCCTCAACACCCACGCCTCACTGCCCTGAAACCTCCCCTTCTCACCTCCCCAGATTCCATCACTCCCAGTGCCTCCTGCCTCAGCCTCACTCCCTCACGCCTCCCCACACCCCCGCCCAACTATATACCAAAGTGGCTCCTCCCAGACTCTGGCCCAGGGACAGGAGATGGTTTGAAAAGGATCACATATAAAGAGAGAATGAGCTTTGATTGGCACCACGGGTCCAATGCTCTCCTCCGAATGCTACATCCCATGACTGAGAGGCAGCCCCAGTGAAGACTGACCCAGCCTGAGGTCAGCCTCCAGGCTCCAGGCCTACCCTAAAATCAGAGGTTGGCCCTGTTCCCCACCCTCAGCAGCTGGGAGATGATCTGCTGGCGGATTCTCAGCTTCTCCTGTTCAGTTCGCTCCCGCAGTCTGTCCCGGGCCCGTGCAATCTCCACCTTGGCCTCCTCGCGAGCCCGCTGATATTCTCGTAGCATCAGCTCTATGTCAGAGGGTAGGTGAGCAGACCTTAAGGCTGACCCTGGGCTCCTGGAAGGACCATAGGGACAGAGAAATGCCTTCTGTCATGGTGGGTGGGCAGTGGCCCTGGCCAGCTCACCCCAGACCTGTTCTACACTTTTATTTTTACTTTAATTTTTAAATAATTTTTTATTTTAAAATTATACTTGACATACAACATATTAGTTTCAGGTGCACAATGATTAGACATTAACCAGCGATTAGACATTTCTATAACTTATGAAGTAGTGACTGTGATAAATCTAGTACCCATCTGACACCATACGAGGTTATTACAATATTATTGCCTATATACTCTATGCTGTACTTTATATCCCTACGCTATACTATTTTGTACTTCTTAATCCCCTCCCCTCTGGCAACTGTCAAAATGTTCTCTATATCTACAAGTTTGTTTCTATTGTGCTTGTTCATTTGTTTTTTAGATTACACATATAAGTGAAATCATATGGAATTTGTCTTTCTCTGACTTATTTCACTCAACATAATACTGTCTAGGTCCATCCATGTTGCTGCAGATGGCAAGATTTCATTTTTTTCATGGCTGAGCCATATTCTATTGCAAATATGTACCATTTTGTCTTAATCCACTCATCTATTGAAGGACATTTAAGTTGCTTCCATATCCTGGCTATTGCAAATAATGCTGCAATGAACACAGGGATGCATATGTCTTTTTGATTTAGTGTTTCAGGTTTCTTTGGATAAGTGCATAGGAGTAGAATTGCTGGGTCCTTTTTTGACTCTTGCTATAGTCTTTGTATTCAAATCTATTTTGTCTGGTATAAGTATTGCTACCCCAGCTTTTTTGTTTGCATTTTCATGAAATATCTTTTTCCATCCCTTTATTGCAACATTTTTTTTTTTTTTTTTAATTTTCACCCAAGGACATTCTTATTGATTTTAGAGAGAGGGGAAGGAAGGAAGAGAAAAGGACAGAAACATCGATGTGAGATAGAAACATCTATTGGTTGCCTCTCTTGTACATGCCCTGACCAGGGATTGAACCTGCAACTTAGGCATGTGCCCTGACCAGGAACTGAACCTGCAACCTGTTTTGTTTATAAGCTGACACTCTAACCAAGCCACGTTGGCCAGGGCTGTGCAACACCATTATTGAATGACCTATCCTCTCTTTGCCTGCAGGGTCTTAAGTTTGATTTTGTGCCTCATTCTGAGACTCAGGCCTGCAGCCTTGTAGTATGCCACCGCTACTCTGTTCATCCTTTGTCCCTTTGCCCCGGTCTCCCACAGCCACTTCCACTTGTCCTCAGGCTCAGCAGACCCACTCCTGGAATTACTCCTGTGAGAGGAAGCTGCTGCCTCCAATCTCCTGGAGACTAAGATCCAGGCCCTGCTCCCCACAACCCTGCCACCCCACATAGACCCTACTTCTTGCAGGGTTCTGGGTCTACCCATACCTCGTGGTCTCCACAACATCCTTCCTCAGTTGCTGCAGGTATTCTCGGCGCCTGCTGGGTAAGTCAAGGTCACGGGTGGGGAGATCCCTGTTAGGCAGGAGGCTCAGTTGTTTCTGGGGGCTGAGGCTTCTTGTCCGACGGAAGTTCTGAAGTCGCTCAGCCCGCTGTCTCCGGAGGGTCTCAATGGTTTGTTTTTGCCTGAGATAGAATGTGATTAATTCACTGAAACTGTCCCCGAATGCCCTTCTCCATCTTACGATCTATATCTGACCCCCAGAAAATCCCAGAACTGAGCAAGCGGAGAGGGGACAGCCAGCTCGTAGTCTTCCTCACTTCTCTTTCCTCTCAGGCCACCCCTTGCCCTCCCCCTCCAGGCTGGGGGCCCTTACCGGGCGTAGAGCTCCCCCCAGGCGGATGGCACAGGGTCCTCGGCAGCGAGCGCCTCCCCTGTCCCAGTCTGCAGCACTTGGAGCAGGGCATCTGACTCCCCAAAGCCGCGGTGCAGTTTCGCTTCTGTGAGCTCCACGCTGAGTGAGAGGTTCTGGGCCCCAACTTGCAGGGGGATCTGCTCCCTCTGGGACCACTCAGGATCCTGGCTCTGGTCGTCAAGATGCTGTGAGGGATCCTGTCCCTGTTCTCCAAAGCTGAGGTCATGTCTGGACCCCAGCAACTCCATCACTCCTAGCTCCCCAGGAGAGCCATCCTGAACCCCATGCCAGTTCCTGAATTTGTTATGCACTGGCAGGTCCCTCAGGCTGTGATGCTGGGGCTCAGGTGTCAGGCACATCTGGGAACTGGGCTGCAGCAGCTCCTGAGGTTGGCAGGCCTCAGCTGGGCCCAAGGCAGAGCCCTGGAGCCTTGTTTTCTCTGTCAACTCAGAGACGGTGCAGGGGCTGAGGTGCTGGGGACCTCCCCAAGAAGAGGGGCTGCCTGGAGTGGGCTGTGGCTCCCCTGGAGATGCTGAATGCTTACCCCCATTTTCTGTCCTCTGCCATTTTTTTGGCCCCCTACTGCTAAGTGGGTCACACTCTAGGGAAGCCATGTCCTCAGGGACAAAGCTCTGAGCTGGCCTCTGACTCCTGAGCCTCAGCGACACTGGTGGCATTCCACTCTGGACCCAGGTGGTGGTCCGGGGCTCAAGCTGCTGGTGCGGCCTCTCTGAGAAATGAACTTGGATTCTCGAGCTGTGCTGTGGGCTGCCTAGGGAGCTTGCCTCAAGGAAAGACCTGCCCTCCTTCCTTTCTAAGGAGCTTCTCCCTTCTCCACATGGAGCCCCCACTCTCTGGACACTACCTGACTCATTAATTGTTTGAGAATGATTATCCATTGGAGGCCTGGGGGCATCAGGGGGAAGATCTGGGCTAGAGACCAGCTTCTGTTGGCCTTCAAGAGGCTGTGCTACAGGGGCTGAGAGAGACACAGAGCCTAGGGGGGGCCCAGGCCCTTGAGCGCTAGCACTAAGTGTGAGGATCGGGGAGGAGGCCCTGTCCACCAACAAGGCACCCCCGGGACACAGCTCCTTCTGGACCCCAGGCTCCCCGACAGACTCTGCGGCACTGGGGCTGGGTCCTGGGGATTGAGGGATGCTAAGGCTGGGGTTGCTGCCAGCCAGGCAGGAGGGTTCCTCTGGCTGGGAGCTGGGAGGCAGGGGGGCATCAGGAGAGGCCTGAGGGCTCTCAGAAGGGAGGTTCTGCCCAAAGGGGGCCTCCTGAAACCTCGAATGGCATGAGGGCAGCGGAGGGCTCTGTGGCCTGCAGTGGGTGCTTTCTTCCTGAAGATCTGGGGGTCCTGTCGTTTTCCATGCGGTCTCCTCTGCTTCTCTCTTCTGAAGTGTCCCTGGGACATGTCCCTTTTCTTGAGACATGGTGGAGATACCTGAGCCCAGCACTTCAACAACCACACCAGCCTCCGGAGGGCTGGCCTCCTGGGCCTGGAGGTGCGGAGGTGATGAGGCCAGGTCAGTCTGGACGCCCTTATCCACGGTGGTCTGAGTACAGCTGTCCATCCTAAGGGCCTGGGGTGCCTCATCTGGGGTCTCCTTCTTGGTGTTTCGCTCCTTTTCAGCAACACTTGGCTGGGAGAGACTCCCCAGCAGCTCTGAGGTACTGTGCAGGAGCTGGGAGAGGTGGAGAGACAGGTTGTGCATACTGGTCCAGGAGGCCAGATCAGAGACTGGCGCAGCTGCGCTGGCTTCCGAATGAGCAGAGGAGAGGTCCGTGTGGCTCCAGTGCAGCCTGCAGCCCAGGGTCTGTGTGCCCTGCTCCAAGGTGTTTATCCTGGGCTGTCCCACAGGGCTGCCCGCCTCTGATGGATACAGCAGCATAATCTCATCCACTGGACCTACAGCGCCTCCTTCAGCCCAGACAGGATTACTCGTCACAGAGCCTGCTTCATCAGGAGTGCCCGGGAGCTGGACTCTCTTGTCAGGACTCTTCCTGGGCGCTGCTCCTTCAGGACCTGTCAGGATATGCGGGTTCCCCAAGGTAAGTGAGGAATCCCATACTCCCCAGGCCCCGTGTGAACCTTGGGCATTCTCAATGCTGCTCCGTCGGCTTGCCAGGCCCCGGGCATTGGCATAGATGCTGAGGTGGGAGTGGAACGAGTTCTGGTCTTCCAGGCCATTGTCCATGCTGGAGCACCGGACCGTTTTTGATGGTACCAGGCCCTGGGATGTCTGGCTACAGGAGACATCGACTGCACTGCCAAACACATATTGCTTCCAGCCAATGCACGCAGGGCCCTCTGGATGGCAGTGCAGAATGTCGGGATTGATGTCACTGGAGTCAAAGCTCAGTACTCCTTTGTCTCCCTCGGAGAGCCACTGCTCTGGCCTGGCTGGGCCACCCAGGCTCTCTGCCTTTCGCTGCCGGGCCTGTTCCTCTGCACCAGACATCCAGTGGGTCGTGAAATTGGGGCCTGGCACACATGACGGAGCTGAAGGCGATGGGTAAGGAGGGCTGGCGGGTTGAAGGAGCCTGGGGTCAACAGAGCTACTGTCCAGATGACATGAGGCTTTCTGATTGCAGCCCTCAGCCTTCAGAGATGTTCCCACCACTGACTTTTCTGAGGAGTGGCCCCTGGAATGTGGGTTCCACACTTTGTTAGGCTCTTGGGTCTCTTCATCTGTGGGGGAAGGAGGCTCCACGCTCAAGTTCAGCTCCTGAAGAGACCAGGAAGAGCTGACTACAGAGAAGTGTGGTCTGGGGGAGGACCTGGCATGTTTGGGGCCAGAGAAGATGGCAATCACAGGAAGCGAGCGCCTGTGACGGGGAGCCAACTGCTCCCTGCCCGAAGAGGGCTGGCCAGGGCTCTGGGCTGCAGGCCCCGAGGGGACTCTGGCTGAGCCGCTAAAGCCTGATGAGAATGTCGACACAGGGGCCTTGGCCGCAGCCCCCTCCTCTCCGCCTGCATCTCCAATCTGACAGCCATCCAAGCCGCCTTCATTGGAACGTGGGGGACACATGCCCTGGGCAGGGTCTTCCCCCCGACCTGAAGCCTGTTCCCTCTGCTGCCTCTCCTCCTCCCAGGGACTGCCGACCTGGGGGCTGGAGATGGGGTTTAACTTCCCCATGAACTTGGCTTCGGGATCTAAGCCACTGTGATCCCTGGACTCAGTGGAAAGTTCTGGCTTTTCTGGAAGGCACCTGACAGCATTTTCTAAACACCCATGTTGTGGTTCCACCAGCAGCTCACTCTCAACAGACCTTTCACTTACATTGAAGGTGCATCGTCTCCTGGTTGTTGCAGGCAGTTCTAGTTTGGTTTGGAACTCCTGTGCATTCTGGCCACCTACTGAGCTGTCGTGAAACGTCCTTAGTGGCTCAGAGCACACACCTTTAGGAAAAGGGGCAGCCTCGGGTTCTGTGCTGGCTCTCTTCTCAGCAACCTTTTTGTCAGGATCCCCCACAGCAACTGAGTAGCTGAGGGAATTCATCCTCATGTCAGGGGCAGAAGGGGAGCTGCAGCCTTGAGCCAGAGAGAAAACACCAGCAGCAGCAGCAGAGGTCTCCAGAGTGCTGCTGCCTGTCGGCCCAGCTTCCAAATGAATGCTTTTGGGCTCAAGGCCGTGTGCCAAGAACACATCAGGTTTGCTGGAATAGCTTTCTCCTCTCTCATCCATTCCACAGGCCCTGCAAGATACTCTGCAGGGCAGGTGGAGGGTCTGTGGGGTGGCTGTAGAAATGCCCTTCCCCAGGTCACCATCTCCGTAACACAGTACAGTAGACAGGGAGGAGCAGACATGAAAAGCAACAGGTTGAGAGTTGCACAGCTGTTGACAAGGAAGAGTTCTGCTGTCTTCTTGCTCCCCAGATGGGCTGAGCGCCCTTCTGCCTTCAATGCTACCCGAGAAGACAACACAATCTGAAGTTTTTTGTGGGAAACTGCGCAGGGCCTCCTCCCTAACACCCCCAGGACCTGGGCTAGGTCTTTGATCCGGCAGTGGAGTTGGCCTGGGATGTTTGCTGCCAGCCTTGCAGGCTTCTGCCAGCCCAGGACCAACACTCCCCTTCTTCACACACTGCTGTGAGGGAGCTTGCAGTTCGGAGCTTCTCAGGCCTCCAGCCAGGACAGTGCCTTGTTTGGGACTTGTGCTTCTTTTTTCTAAGACCCTGAAAGCCTCGAGGTCTTGGACATGCTCTTGGTTAGGCCCTGGGAGACTGGCAGAGCTCTGAACATTACAGATCACAAGCTGACTCTCAGAACAGGCTGCTTTTCCTCCCTGTGCAGCCACCATGAAGCTACCCGAGCCTCCTCCATACGTGGCATTTAGAGTTCTAGGTTTCTGGTGTGCCCAGCTGCTCTCCTGACTGCCAGGGGGTGTGCCCTCTGCAGCCTCCAGTGGAACTAACTGGCTCTGCCCCTGCCAACTCACTCCAGGATTGTCAGAGGGGTCCTGAGAAGATAAGGCAGCCACTACTTTCTCTGGTATTACCCTCCTGTCCTCCTCTACAGCTGCTGAAGAAGGAAGACTGCCTGAGCTTACATGATCAGCTGAAGGTATTCCAGTTGCTGCTTTCTTTTTCTCTCTGATTTCAAAAGGGCCAGAGTAACAAATAAACTGCTCGCCTGCACTCAGGAAAGGTCTCAGTTCTCCAGAATGATGGTTTGTGCCTAGAGCAGGGCCAGCCTGGGAGAAAACCTGCGGGGGCTGCCATGGTCCTGTGTTAACGTCAGTGTTGGGCAAAGGTGGAAAGCTGTCTGCAGAGGGGGGTGTGGTCTTCAGGACTTTCCTCTCATCAGCCCACAGATGTCCTGGTTCTGCACAGGGAGATGCCACATGAAATCCCTGTGCTTCACTCTCATGTCCAGTCCTGTCTGATGCTGGTTGGTCCATTTGTTGACACTGAGGCCTGCTAGGGGCCCTTGAAGAACATTCAGGTTCTAATAAAGTCTCATAGTGAGGAAGGACTGTGCCCTCAGCCACCAAGTCATGAGGCTGCTTTCTGTGGGCCCCTGTCTCTCTGATCTCCTCCAAAACGGCCAGGCCCGTGGATGTATGGGCAGAGGGCTCCAGGTGCGGCCCCAGGAACGCAGGTGCTGAGAAAGTAGCACTGGTAGGACCAAGGTTCTCGGCCTCCTTCTCTGCCTTCTGCCTCACCTCCCAGCCTTGGTCATTACCTTCTTCTAAGGGACAGGGGGCCCTCTTTTCAAGTAGGCTAGAGACCCTGTTCAGGGAACCGGCTCTTTCTGTTCCTTTTTGTGCAGCTGCCTCTGCTTCAGCAACTGAACCCACCCTGGCACTCAAGCCCACCGAGGTGCTTCTGGGGCTCCATCTTTGGTCTTGAGGACTTGTACTTGCTGATCTCCTGCCCTCAGCCCCCAGGGGAGTGCTCTCCAAGGCACTGGATTGATCCCAAGATCCCATGGCCACGAAGCCTGCAGACCCACACCCGGCAATGTGTGCACTGGAGGAGCCCCCTCGAACATTCCCCTGAGGGCTGTGGCTTCTGGGCTCCTCGCACTGGCCCTGACATGCTACTTCAGTTCCCCAGGGACTGTTAGGCGTTTTCAACACTGTAGGATCCAGCACATAGTCAACTGAAGAGAAGCCTATAGCATCAGGTGCATGAAGACAGCTTCTTGGTAGTCTTGGGGAATTCAAGGGCAAGGTGTTAATCAGGTCTTGGTGAGGAGCTGTAGAGGAGTATGGCCAGCTCAGCAATGGGCTGGTCTCCTGGCTGAAAAATGTGCCCATACAATGTTGGCTTGGACTAAGAAGTTTCTGCATCGATGAGACCATTTTGCATTCCTCTTGTAGGCTCTCTCCGCTTTGCATAATTCTTTCTTTAACTCTGCCTTGAACTTTTGGCCCCTCTGGGTCAAAACTACTTATGTGTTTGGCACCCTGGCTTTCCTGAAAATTGTTCACAGGCTTTGATTCCTCCAGACTTTCCAAACCACACGGCTGCCCCCTGGGGCTCACTGATGCACGCATCGACTCATTTTCCTTCTCAGGAAACCGCTCAGGCCTGGCCTGCAATGGTGCAGCTCTAGCCAATGCTTTTGTTCTCCAAGGATTAACGGAAGTTTTGGTGCACTCACTGTGCACTGTACCTGTCCCTAAATAATCACAACTGTCCCTGGCAGGCTTGTCTAATACAGCCGGGGAGGTGTGTTCTCTCACAAATCTCATGTTTTGCACCCATTCTCTTGACGTGAAGGGACTCAGGGTGATTTTCTGAACTTGGGCATCCTCCCCAGTGCTACTGTTAGCCTTCCTTTCTCCAGCTTCACCATCCCTAAAGATAGTATCATCTGTCTCTTTTGGAGAAGACGGCTGATCCTTAAAGGACAAGTGGTTTCCAGAGCTGCTTGGCCTCAGGACATGGTCAGCCATCTCCTGGTCCTGGAACACAAACTCATTACTGACCCCCAGTGTGTGGGAAGCATATAGTTGCTTATTCTGCTTGGATTCGATTTCTAAGATATCATTTTCTAGCTGCACTACACTCTTAATTAGCCTAGCCATTTCATCAGCATTATTAACTCCTTTATTCTGTTTTTTCCCAGAAGGTGGCTCTTCGGGATTTAACGTTACTTGCAACTTTCCAGGGCTCTTGCATTCAGTGAGGTTCCTTTCCTGTGAGTATATAGCTGACTGGAACTTTTCACATGTAGACTCTGTCCATGGCAGCTTACACCCTTCTGAGCTGTCTTTGGGATGGAGAGAGAAGGTTTTATAGATGAAATCAGATCTGGCCCCAGAAGGGAGCTGGCTGTTTTTATCAGAGGCCTGGGTCTGTCTTAGGACTGCATTCTCACCTTGCTGTTCTTCCCCACCTGCCTCAGATGCACAAAGAAGAAGAGGCTTCCCAGACTTAGAACTGTCTGAGGAAAGATTGCAATGGGACTGTATAGTGATCTTTTCTTCCTTCTTGAGTGCTGGAAGACTGTGTTTATTTAAGTTTCCAACTTGATTTTCATATTCACATACTTTTGTGCTGGCAGATGTAAGAAAATGTCTGTTCTGAGCAACAAAAAAATACACTGAATTATGGCTTTCTTCTTTAATATTTCCAGGGCATTTCCCCATTTCTCCACTAACTTCCTTGGTGTTTAGGTCAGCGGGCCTCCCTGCTGTGACCTGCTGAGAGGAGGTCATCTTGGAATTCTGTTTTTGTAACAGCACTGAGAAGTTATCGTTCAAGTAAACATTCTGGAGGACTTGGTAGTCATGGTCAAAGCCCCAGGCTTCCCGGGGAGGTGGGGAAGGCACTCTCGCTTCTCTGCAAGCCGGGATCTCTAAGGCAGTTTCTGTCAGGGCATCCCGGCTTTTGGTCACATAGAATGTCTCTAAGGGAGGTGGCTGCAGGGAAGATGGGAATGAGCTCCAAGGAGTGGAGTGGAGGTACAGCTCTGGACCCAATGGAAAGGCAAGGGAAAGGTTGGCATGTCTTCCAACCGCATCCTTGGAGCTCTCCTGGCAATTTGCGTCCTCCTCCTGTTGCAGCTGGTGGCTGTTATGATTTAATTGGTCTGCCTGGCTTGTACTCTTCTTCCTGAGCGGAGCCAAGCCTTGGGGCCAATGGTCTTCTTTGGTGGCTATGGTGACATTACTGTGACAAGAGTTCTTCAGGAAGAACTGTTCATCAGAGGAAGTCACCAGTCCAGGTTTCCTCCTGCCACTCTGAGAGGACTCTTCCAAGCTGTTCTGTGTGACTTTCCATGCTTCTATTATGCAATTTGCTACCTTGTTGTCTGCTGCAAAGACCTGTGCATTTGTAGTTCCAGAAGTCAGTGATTCTATGTCTGCTGAATAATTTCCACTGTAACTCACCTCTTTCTCACTTGCTGTGAAGAAATCTGAAGTACTTTCTAACTTGACACTCAAACTGTTCTGTTCTTTCTCTGCCTTCAAATGCCTGATTTTGGATATATGGATCGGAAAGTTGAAATTCAAACTGCTAGACACCCCAGAACCAACTGCCAATAGACTATCTCCTCCTTTGCCAGATGCTTGGGCCAAGGAACCAGAATCTTCCTCAAAGGAGGTAAAAGCTGGCCTGGGCTCTGCTGTGTCCTCCAAAACAGGATGAGAGAGTTCAAGGAGGTACTTTTGCTGAAGGGCGGCCCAGTCCCCCTCACGGGCACTGCCTGCGTGAGTCAATGAGACCGCAGAGGCAGCCAGCGCGCTTGACACATGAGAGCTGTTGGATGTTTCCAAGTTGCCTTGCTGGGCTGCGTCAGGGACACCTGTGGCCTGAAAGGTGGCATCAGCTCCTTGCTGAAGCAGCCTGTAAGACCCCCAGAATGACAGCCTGGATGTGTCAGAAGCAGGAATTGTGTACACAGCCCTTACACTACAGGGCAGCTCAGCGCCACCTGGGGGCGGTTTGGAGGTGTAGGGCGGGACTGTCTCTGCACCTGGCGGCTTTAGTCCTTCCACACTTGGCCAGTACCCAGGCCTCTCCCGACCACGGGGCTGAAATTCTTGGACATCAGGACTTGGACAGGAAGAACCTACTATTCCGAGGGGGCTGCTGGGATTGACCTTGGAGTCACAGGAAAACCAGGAATCCAGGGACAACAGTGGGCTCCCTCTTGAAACCTGCATGCCTTGCAGAACGCTGACTTGCTCAGAGGAGCTTGCCTCCACCACCTTCGACTCAGGCTGCTCACAGCAGGGCGGGGGCTGGGAATCAAGGTAGAATGAACTGCTCATTGGCAGGATGGCATCCAGCCTGGCTCCTGCTCTTTGGGTGATGGGACCAGGCCTGCACATTGCCTCCTGGCCCACCACGGGCAGACTGGAGGTCTGCAGGTGCCAAAAAGTCTCTGTTGGCATCTCGTCAGCTGAAGTGAAGAAAGGTTCTTCTTGCTGATCTTCCCCCAGTTCTGCCTCAGCGTCAATCAAGCTATCCAGTGAAAAGCTCCTGTGAGCCGGGGCCAATGGTCTGCCGTCTGAGGATGTGGTGAAGCCCCTCACAGAGGCTCTAGCTCTGGCCCTGTGGTGGCCGTGGCCATTGGTGAGATAACTGCCCCCTGGGCTGTCCTGGGGGCTTTGGTGTCCCTTCTCAGCCAGAGAGTCCTCAGATATTTGGCTGTTGTCACTTTCAGTGTTCTCTGGCTCTGGGAGTTCCCGTTCCTTCCCCTGGCAGTGCCCTGGCTCCAGCGGCTCCGTCAGGGCTTTGGCAGAGACACAGGAGAGAGAATCCACTGAGTAAGTGCTATCTGCATCTGACAAATCACCATCTTTTTCCCTGGTGGGATCTGCTACTGGGCTGGAATTGGTGAGCGAGGCCATGGGGTCTGGGTCCCCTGCACTGTGCTGCCTCTTCGAAGTGCTGCGACGAGGCAAACGAGAAGACTTTTTGGTAATGTCTTTGGCCCTATCTGCCAGCACCCTCTGCTGCCCTTTTAATGCCCTACTTGGAGAAAGTGGTTTGGATTCTGCCCAAAAAGTCCTGGCTGCCTTTCCACACCCAGCTGCCTGTTTGGGTCCACCGGGATGCGAGGAACTGCAAGCGGCTCCTTTAGCAGCCTTGTGGGTCCCAAGGTCCCCTACGTTTCGCCACCCTGCTGATCTGTAGCCAGAGTCTGATAGTCCCTTAGCCTTCCTGGTCTGGGTGGAAGGGGTGAGGGCCTCCGGCTCATCCCTTGGCTTCAGCTTCTTGGCTGGTTGGCCCAGAGATGCTAAGCCCTGGGGCACCATCCAGTGGGGCTGCTTACTCACTCTCTCCATTTCCTGGGTGCCGGATAGCCCAGAGCTCACTGTGAAGCCTGGGGCCGAGGCTCTCCTCCAGGCCAAGGCCGCCCTGGCTGTGCAGAGCTGTCCCTCACCGGAGGAACAGAGAACAATCTTGCTGAAACGCCCTGCCCTTGGCGGGTGAGAAGCAGCCTGGGACAAATACTCTTCTGATTGGGTTTTCTCTGATGTATGATCAGTAGAGTCAGGCATAGGGGATAATGTGGAGGAGGCATCCCGATCCAGGAAAACACTGTGGAGACAAGGAAAGCCACCTCAGAAAAGACAGAAGCTTCTACTTCCTGCTGACAGAGGGACTAGAAAGTCCCACCTACTTGGTGTTGAAAGAGGTTAAAAACTACACTGATATCACTGTCCCCACAGTCTTTGGGGCTGGAGAAAAGCTCTATAGGTAAAAAGGGACAGCATGGGCTGTAGCCATCCTAGCTCTCAAACAGGCCCCGGGTGTGCTCTGCTCCTCAGTCTTTTTAATCTTATAAAGACGTTCAACTCTACGAATCTAATCAGGCCTTTAAAGAAAACTCTCAGTTAATGGGCAATATGAGGAACAGAGGAACAATTTAAATGATACTAAAGGAATCAAACAGACAAATCTATAACATGGCACATTCTAAAAAACTGACTGACTCTCTTTAACAAATCAATGATATGAAGAAATAAAGCAAAAAATATGATTTAAAAAAACGTAAAAGACATAACCACATGCAGTGTGTAAATACTATTTAGATCTTAATTTGAACAACTATAAATGAAGCCATTAGAGAAATTTGAACATGGCCTAGGTTTAGATTATACTGAACAATTAATCTTAATTTTGTTAGGAGTGATAATGACAATGTCGTTATAACAAAAGTCCTTATGTTCTAGAAGTGAATATCTGATGTAGTATTGGCATGACATGATATCTAGAGGTGGTTTTTAAAATACTTCATCAGAAAGAAGGAGGGGAGAGAAAGTAAGCATGGTAAATCTTGATAATTTCTGAATATAAGTGTTAGGTACTATTCTCTCAATTTTGCGTATGTTTAAATTTTTTTCATAATAAAAAGTTTTTTAAAAAACTGCCTACTACCCTGAAGACCAAGGAGGTGAGCAAACATAATACCAACAGACATCAATTGTGTACATACTATGGTACACAAGGCCTGTGCTAGGCCCAGAGGACATAAAGTGGGAGACACGGTCCCCTGTTCCTAGCAGCCTGGGAGAGAGCATATCCTCACCTCGACTGACAGGAAGGAGTGAAAGACAAAAGAAACCAGGATGATCTCAGATTGGACCTGGGAATCAGAAAGATGGCATTCCATTCGCTCACCAGCTGGGAGGCGGAGGCAGGAAGCTCACCTGAGGTGGCAGGTCAGGTGGGAAGGGAGAGGGAGGAAATGTGTGGCGACAGAGTCTGGTTTGAAGCAAGATGTGAGGGAGGGGGGCCAGAATACACAAGAAGAGATAAGTGGAGAGCCGGGGTCTAAAGATAAAAATAAAGCTCACACTGAAGATAGCACGAAAGAAGCAAGAGCTGCCACTCAGAGTGGGAGAAGGGAAAAGCCTGAGTCTTAGGAGATGTCAACGACAGAGAAAGAAGAGTCGGAGAGGGAAATGGTGATGAGGAGGAGAGGAGTAAACAGCTCTTTCCATTTCACAGACTGAGGAAGCTGAGACACTGGGAAGGAAAGAACACAAGCTGGGGAACAAGCCTGCAAACTTCAGCCAGTGCTTCCAGGGGACGACTGCCGGCTGTACCTGCGGAGCTGGGGCAAGTACCGGAGGCAGAGCCTTCGGAGGCTCAAAGAGCTGCAACTTGTCGATTTGCTTCCACATTGACGGCTTGGGACCATGGCATCAGAGCTGGGGACCTCGTGTGGAGGCTCCCAGGGACAACCATCCTGGAGCCAGCACAGTGCCTTGAGCTGCTCCAGCCTCTTCTGGGCCTCCAGCAGCTTCTGCTTCTTGATGATTGTCTCTAGCTGGAAGGAGACCTTTCTTCGCCAGATGTTCAGCTCTGCAGCTCGTCTCCGCGGGAGCTGAAGCAGCCTCGCCCTCTTCTGGCTTCGGGCAACTGGGGACAGTTGAGTCTCGGGATCTGTCTGAAGCCAAGAATCAGCTGGCACAGAGGCCTCAAGTTCTTTCTCTGCTGCACAGCCTTGCAGTTGCTGCTGCTGCGAGCTTGCCAGCCAGGTCTCTTCTCTGAGCTGCCACTGATGGTCTGGGAACAAAAACACCCTGAGAGAAGGTCAGCACCTCCCTCCCTGCCCGTGGCTGCCTGGACTCAGACGCCCCCGGCCATGGATGGACCTGTACAGAATGAAAGGGCTGGCCGGGTTGACGTCCCCTTACCACAGGGCAAGGGAATGAAGCCCCAGGCCTCAGCACAGCAGCGGGCACATGCTAGGGCCGGCAGCAAAGCACGGACGGATGCGTGCAGGAGAAGGAGCGAGCGGAGGGCCATCACTGTGAGGGCCAATAGGAAGCTGCTTCCTTATCCTTGCTTCCAGCCCCTTGTAAGAGCCTCTGTTCTCTAAAAGAGAGGACAGAATGCCTAACACCAAAGATTCCATCATATCATAAAGAAAACAAAGGGGAGAATACAGAAGCCTGGGGAAGCATGAAAATGAAGAGAAGGGACAATGAAGCAGACACTGAGCACAGGGCACCTACTGTCTTTAATCTGCCAGGTGACGTGTGCCTGGTCAAATTCCAGGTCCCGTTTGGCTCTAATCTGTCCTGCTAGGATGTGCTGCTTCAAATCCCCGACGTAGCACTGCTGTGGCTGCTGAACCTCGGTCCTGTGCGGCGTCTCTCCAGCCCCAGGAAGCCGGTGGTCCTCACTGCTCTGCTCCCCCAGCTCTTTCCTGCCACAGAGGGGCCAAGGTTACCCCAGGGAAATGCAAACCCAGCTCAGTAGAAACCAGTGGCCATCCAGGCCCCTCTGAGAGAGTCCCTGAATTCAACAGGGCAGAGAGGACTTTGGACTTCCGGCAGCTTGGGACACACAGGCATGGTGTCACAGGCAGCTCATGATGTCACAGTGCAGGAGGTGAGAACAGGCCTCAGACTAGCATATTCTTAGATTGTGGGTTTAGCAGAAACACAAATACATTTTGGTTAAAGAAAATAACCAGAAAATAAAGCACCTTTAAAAAACAACAACAAAAACAACAAAAAACACATTTTAACTAAATCAATAAACTTTGTCCTTAAAAAAAAAAAAAAGGTATCTGCTGGAAACAAAGAGCAGGAGCTCTGGAAAGACTGTGGGAAGGGAAAGTTCCTGCACATGTTCAGAGAGCACAGCTGCAGGTCCGGCCCCTGAAACAGAAACCCTCTGTGCGTCTGGCGGGCGGAGGCGGGCGGAGGCGGCCAGGCCGGGGGCGAGAGAATGGACATGCACCACACCTGTGCGAACACGCCCTGGATTAGGGGTCCAGAGTTTTAGACTCTGGCATATCTTTCAGAGATATATGCTGAAGCCTTTTCTGCTGAATTGTCTGGGATTTGTTTAGATTCAGCGGGGAATGGTTGGGGCAGGGAAGGAGTGAGTGGGGATGTAAATGAAACAAGATTAGCTACGAGTTGATTATTTGTAGCATACTTGGAATTTTCCATAATACAAAGTTTCAACAGAATTCTAGATTACTGTCATCCTTGATTCTGCCACCAGGTTCTTCCATGACCATGGATGAGTGACAGCCCTCCTCTGAAAACTGACAGCTTCTGCCTGCATGCTAACGCCGCCCTGGGTCACACAGAGCCTCCTAAGAGAGGACCCCCAGGCTGTTTCTGCAGGGTGGCTCCATCCCTGTCATTCCAGTTCCTAAAGGCGCCCCAGTGTGGTGGTGGGAGGGGACATAGCTGGGAAGGGCCAGCATCCACCAGAGGCTCACAAAAAGCCTGAATTGAGCCTCCCTCAGCCCTCATTCCAGTCCCCGGATGCGGCCACCCCACTCACTCACGTATTGTCTAGTCTGCTTTTGCGCCACAGCCGCAAAGTTGAATAGCTGTAGCAGACACTGTAAGTCCTGCAAAGCCTAAAATACTATCTGGCCCTTTTTCAGACCATTTGCTGCCTATGTCTTAGGAAAAAAATAAAGTTTCTTAATATAGCTTTAGGAGGACAATGAAGGGTGGACGGTGGGAGAGAGAACAGATGGATGGGGAGGTGTGTGGGCGGGAGCTGACACACAGCAATGTCTGCTCGGAAGGGCACTATGAGGTGATTCAACATGCAGTGGGTCCAAGGACTAGGACGGGCCCAGATACTTGAGCACGTGCTCTCTGGGGAAGACTGGCGCTGAGTGCTGTGGGCAAAAGGCCAAATACGCACAGTGGAATGTAGAGAAAAAAGGAAAGACACCCTGATACATGTGAGGCAACAGGCAAGTGACAGCAGCTGGAATTTAAAAACCAGTTAATGCCACACGAATAGAAAAAGCAGTTAATGGGAAACATTTTACACATGTGTCATGTCTGCACTACTGCTCCAAAATCTGTATGACCACCGGCAATGGCTGAACTACAAACAGCCCATCTGAGGTGCTTAGACAAACCCAGCTAAGATCCAGACCATCAGATGCAAGGGGCAGGGCCAGGGGTCTTTATTCTGAATCCCCTGGGAGTATTTACTGTAGCTTCCTTCTCTGCCATCTCAAATCCTGATTTACAATCACCGTCTCCCTAGAGGAGAGCTCCCTCTAGCCTTCCTCCTGGAATGTGGCAGCGGCCAGTCACTTTCTGAGACCCCGATACACTTTCCTTCATAGCAGCATCAGCACCTGAGGGGAGAGTCAGCTGGGAGGACCATGGCAGACACCGCACCTTCACCCCAGGTGCCACACGCCATCCGGCTGAAAACGGCTTCTCTGCTAAGTACATCAGCCAAGGTCCCAAAAAGCAAGTGAAAAAGAAAATACCGACCTTATGCTACATGTCTGGGTAGATTACCAAGGGCAAGCCTTCAGTCACCTGCCAGCCAAGGACCTCTGTCTCTCTCAGATGACTGCCCTTCATCTTGGGTGGCTCCTGCCTCCCCCAGCTGCTGCCCGGTCCCCTCCTTGCCAGCACGCTGTGGCACGGTCCTGGCCGCCTCAGGGTCTGACAGCTTCTGCAGTGGGATGCAGCAGTGTCTACGCACTTAGGCAGCAGGAGCGGTGGCAGCAATGACAGCATCTCCCAGGCACTGGGCACTTAAGGTTAAGCTCCCAAAATTCCAAATGGGAAACTGCAAAGAATACAGGCAACGAATTTCAAGGACAAATTCCTCTCTGGTCCAGATCACTGCTGCAAGGGGGAAGGAGGCAGACCAGCCAATCTCCCCTGGCTCTGGAGTCAGCATCAGCTTTGCAGGCTCCCCACAAGTATTCTTCCAGAGAGAAAAGGGAGGGGAAAAAAGCCTAGGACATGGAGGGGCTTGGGAGCAACCCCACCCAAGAGCAGAGGGGAGACTCTCATGGAAATAGAGCCACAGGACAACTGGGGACCCAGCTAACAACATGCAGCTTTCTCCACTCTCTTGGGATCTCTCTCCAGTCCCTCTGCCCAATCACAGGCTGGCGCCTGCACCACCCCACTCCCACCAAGGCCGCACTCCATGCTGGCTCCAGTCTGGGCAGGACCAGCCCAACCCACAGGCTCCTAGAGCTGCTGCTGAAGAGCGGAGACAGCGAGCGGGGAGGCCTTGATTCACTAGTCCCTCTCTGTCCTCTCTGAATGAAAGGGTACATTCTTGGTGTTACTGAAAGGTCACATCAGTGCCTGTGGGGCTAGAGAGCCAAGAAGACAGGAGACTGGTGTTCTCTAGGCAGCTGGGGTGAGAGGGGAGGGCAGGAAAGCAAAAGGGTGGCTGTGTTCCTGGAGAGCTCCCGCAAGAGCCTCCCGGAAGCAGAGCCATGGGCTGTCAGGTACTTGGCAAAGCACTTCACAAGTTCCCGCTCCTTCAACCAGTACCACAAGGATCCCAGGAGAAAGATGGTAGTATCCTTACTCAGAGGACAGCGAACAGGCTCAGAGACTCAGTAGCTTGCCTAAGGTCACACAGCTTTTCTGTCATAGAACTAAGGTGTGAAGTAACTTTATCCAGCCCCATCATCCTCACCTCTTTTTTTTTTCATGACCAATCTAAGTTATTTATTTAAGCCACCTCCTGCTATTAGCAAAGAGATGGAAGATTAGTATACTCTAGTCATCATTTGATATTAGGAAAGAATGTCAGCTTAAGGTCCCATACACTTTTCTGGTCTATGCACAGAGTAACGGTCCAAACCGGTGCTGTAGTCCCCCTGGGGTAGTGGTCCAGGTTCTCTTTATTCATCTTCATAGCTGGTCAGAAATGGATCCACATGAGGGTTATGGAAGAGAGTACAGTTACCATCTTCCCAGGGAAAGGGTTTGGCCCTGAGGTGGAGACGGGGGTAGATGACGAACTTGGGTCTCGTGCTCTCTGTGGTACGACCTCAGAAAGACATCCAGCATGCTCATTCCCACCCCGGGGAGCGCAGTGAAGCAGGTGAGGGCCCTCCACCTGCGAGCTGAGCCCTCCTCGCCATGGCTCCACTTGACACAGGCCGCGCCAGCTATGGCCGGAAATGACCTAGCAGCCCAGAAACCCTGGACCCAGCCACCACCACCATTTTTGACCAGGACCCATCCTTGCCTCTTTAAGCTGCAGACCCATTCTCTGTAAGCCTCTGAACTCTGGGAAGAACAGACCTTCAGTGCATCTTTCCCATGGAAAACTTACCTAAGATGAGGTCTCCTATCATGGATCCACTACTGAGAGGGAGGACCACGCTGACAAATCAAGAGTCCCCGCTTCAGTCCCGAGTCCATCTTGGCCTTGATACACTTTACCCTGTGTCACCTCTCCCTTACCTGCCACCCCACAGAGCCCCTCAGTCATTCGACACTAGGTTCTTCCTCCCTTAGACTCCAGTCCTTTGGCCTTTAGCAGCCCTCCTGTGAGGACCTGCCTGCTGGTCACGCTCCCAGCACTAGAGCACTCTGCTCCTGCATCCAGCCCCCCGCGTTACCAAGGCCAGACCCAAGGCCAGACCCAAGGCTATCTTCAGCTGCCATTAAATTCTCCTGGTCTGAGGAAAGAGCAGCTAGATCCCTCTAAAGGAACCAGGGCACGAAGGGCCATGATAACCCTCCCAGGAACCCTGTGCTCACCGTGCTGGTCCCAAATCCCCTGCTGACATTTTCTAAAGGAAGGGCCCAAGGTGGCAGGCACTTTGGCTATGGGAACAGAAGGATACCACTGTTCCCAACACCAAACCCACAAGGATCTAGATCTGGGAAGGGAATTCTGTGAAGAAATGGATGAAAAATGACTATGAAGAAGAAAATTCACATATCAAACTCTGAGTCCACGGTTCACAGTCACAATACTGGTAAAGTGGGTGTGAGAGGGCAGAACCCCAAGATATTTTTGCATTGTTCCTGGAGTTCCTGCCCTTGTTATGCATAGTTCTGGACAGTTGGTTTTAATGGAAGGAAAAGGATTGTCAGTTCCACAATATTTTTAAAAACTCAGAGGAAGCCACAGTCCTGGAAGCTAACACACCATGAGCTCACACACAGGCAGGACAGAATTTAAAGAGGTATACAGGGAGGTAAGTTCAGAAGCTGCACCAAAGCTATCTGTAAATGCACCATATTTAAATCTTGTTGACAGGGGCCGTAGGAAACAACAAATGCTAAACTTCTTCCAAGAAGAAGAAAGTTACAACACTGAAGGGGAAATAAATGAGGCCAAGGCCACGTCTCTGCCAACTCTCAGTTGGGCAGCGAGCTCCGCACCTTCAAGTCCCTTGCCAAGTTGATTTAGACCAGCTTCATCAAACCTTGGCTGCTACACTCACCTCCTCCTGGCTCCATGTTATAATGGCCTACGAAGAAAAACTAGTAGGTTCTACAGCAGAGGGAGCAGCTGTTTCTCACCTTTTTTTCCAAAACGAAGGGCAGAGACCCAACCTGGAGGCAGTGACATCTCCATCCAAGTTCAGCCACTCCAAAGAGCCACTGCCACCAACACCCTCTCCAACCTGGGAACTCGGGAGAAAGCACAGTGAGACTGCAGTCATCAACCCTCCCCACGCTCCCCAGAGAACCCGACAAAGCTCTGACCCCTCCCCCCAGGGAGAAGTAGGGAGGCCAGCGTGCTAACCTGCCTTCTCTGCCGAAGGACAGCAGCCTCTGCTGGGTGGCTGAATCGGAATGTCTGCGCTTTCCCCAGGGTGATGACTGCTCCTGTGGCACAGAGACAGGCAGGGCCTCAGCCAGCGGCCCCTGTTCTCAGTATGCACGACGTGCAGGGCGCTGTTCTGTGAGAGGGGAGTCCTGCCCTCAACTCGTGGATAATTAGCTCAGGTCAAAAAGATACGTATTCGTTGAATATTGCGCAGCGTATGTATCAAACTAATGAAATGAGCAGAAAGAGTCTGGTAGTCCAAGGAGAAGCAAGATGAATTCCAGGTGGAGTAGTCAGGGAACACAGCATGGGAGAGGGAGAGCGTAAGCTCAGCCTCAATGGACAGACAGAATTTGAATACATTACTAATAATAGTGATAGTGACAGTAATAATGATAATGAGCACTAACTAAGTGCCAAGGACACTGTTGAGAACAACATTACGAGGGTTAGTTCATTCTACCTTCATATTTCCTGCTCTTCAATCCTATTTTTATCCCTGTTTTACAGATGAGGAAATTGAGGCCTAGACACTTTCCCAAGCACACAGAGCTAACAGCACAGGGACAAATTTCAGGGTCATTCTCCATTCTGGGGCCCAGGAATTAGGGTTTCTTCATTTATGAGAAGAAGATGGTATTAGGATATCGGATCTCTGGGTGCCAAGGCTGGGTTTTCCTTCTTTAAAGGCTGATTCACTGGGTTCTCTGGGTCTGGCCCATGAGACTGGAGCTGGTCCATCACCTGTCCTGGCATAAACAGGGCTGTAGACAGTCCTACCTTGGGTCAGACGGCAGGAGGCAGTGACCTCCCGGCCATTGACTGTGCAGCGGGCCCCCTGGGCAGGCCGCAGAACGACGACCCCGCAGGCGCTGGTGATGGTGCAGTGGTCTCTCTCGATCCACTGACCCTGCAGGACTAAGAAAAGGTGGGGGTCACTTGGGTGGAGACACAGCCGAGGGAAACACCTCCTCCGTGCTTCCCAGGAGATCAGAATGCACATCTAGAAGATCTCGTATGGTGATGAGAGAGGAAGAGCCACCAACTGAAACCACGCAGACCTGGATCCTCCCACATGTGGGTCCCCTCCTATCATATCCCGGACACAGAGCTGTAGTCCCACAACCTAGCAGCAAAAGGAGCAGCCCCTTAGGACTTCAAAGATCCTTTCCTCTCAGAGCACCATCGGGATCCTCTGAAAACACCTGTCAGGCATGAGTGCCTGCCACAGAGTGTCAGGCCATGTGCTCGGTCACTCACCAATATCCTGTTCCTGCTCTGAGTCAATCCTTCCTATTTTTGTTGTCCCCTCCTAAAGGGAAAAACAAAGCCGATTAAATGAGCTTAAAAAGGGAGCCAGCCCTGCCCGCAAAGGAGAGTCCGCTGTTTGAGTGTTAACACTGCCACCCCACACCCACCCCGGCTTTTCACACAGCTTCTCGGCTTCGGCCCAGGCCCTTCTGACTGCTCTGCCCACTCACTCTGCAGCCAGGAAGACCCTGAGAAGGTGGGGGCAAAAAGTATGTGACAAAGCAGCATCAGATCTTTGCGAAGTCCAACAAATGTTGGCAAACTCCCATAGCCTGAAGCTAGAGAACTTGGAGTCTGAGGAAGTGGGCACACAGTACAGCCTTCTCCCAGGGGCTAAGGTTCTGGTCCCAGTTTGGTCCCGCCAGTCTCAGACAGAGGTGTTCTCTAAAGGTGTATGGAGGCACAGGATTTTTACCTTCTCAGTCCGCAGATGAAGTTTAACAGACACCAGATTGTAAGAAGGGTAAAGCACGAATAGGAGAAAAGCACCTCTAGAATCAAAAAGGACTGGAAGAGAGTATAGGAGAGGAGGGGGAAATGGGAGTTAGTATAAACGAATCACAAGGTTAGTAGAAGACAATGGCTTTTGGCCTTTGGTTATGGCAATTTGGACCACATAGCTCTGTTTGAGGAAGGCAGAACATGGCAGCAGAGATGCTGAGTTTAGGTATGTACTTACCACCCACCGAGTAACCATTCACTATGTCCCAGGCACTGCGCTGAGTGCCTTATAGACATCTCTTATTCAATCATTTAACAACCCAAAATGTAGGTATTATTATCCCCCTTTTATAGATAAGGAATCTGAAGCTGACAGGGGACAAGTTGCCCAGGGAACCCACAAACTACATAGGAGAGCTCTGGCTAGACTTCAGGGCTTTCTGGGTCCTGAGCCTTGCTTTTCCAACCTCCACATACCATCTCCCCAGTAACTGAGGTTTACAAAGTGACCAGAGAGTTCCATACTGGGCTTCACTGTTAGCAGCCAGTGGGGTGGTCCCTGTAGTTCCCCCAAAATTGCTTGAGAGAAGGAAGACTCCTAGAAGTGATGAATGAGGTTCTGTGCCCCGCTCCACGTGCACACTCACAAACAGCCAGAGCCCTGCCTTTTCTGCCCAGCCAGCCAGAGCCACACAAGCCAATGGATACTGGCCTCCAGACACCACCAAACAGAAGCAAGGGAAAGGGGTCAAGGCCCTTCATGTGGGTTCAGGGTCAGCCCTGATGAAGAGGCGCATTCCTCCCCAAAGGAGAGAGGCCACAGCACATCACAACTTCTAGGCCTGCAGGGCAGAAACAACAAAAAAATGCGACAGCATCTGTTTAACAAGGACTGAATTGGTGCCTGTGCTTGCTGCCCCTCTGCTGCTTTCTGCGGGGAAGCTTAGCGGCACAAAGGCACTTAGGAGGACCAAGTCTAGGATACCAGTAACCTCTGCTTTGTGCATCCTTTCTCTGGGCCCCCTTCCCACCCAAGGCTCCTCCTGAGGTGGCCCAGGGGAAAACAGCCCCCGGGGCATTGCTAGGGACTAGCTCCAGATCTATAATCAATCAGCAAAGCAAAGCAAACAAACAAAACAGAATCTTGAGTGATTACTGTTCTACTACTACCCAAACCAGGGAGTAACCAAATAAAAAGGGGGAGATGGGTACATAAAATGCGGAAATGCCAGGATTAGCACTAACTGGAACCCCATTCCCCAGGTTCACCGGAAGTGCACCAACGAGGGAGTGCCATGCCGGGCGGTGTGCACGGACTCAGCAAGGAAAGCCAGCGCTTCTCCATTCAGAAGAGGCTGGCCACGTCCTTTAACCCTCTGTTGCTACCCCAAGCTCTACCACTTGACTTCTACCTTCATCTGCTTACTCTACAGGCAATCAATCTATTAGATCAGTTCTAATCAAATCCTGACCATTTTAATCCACCCGGTCTCTGCATGACTTCCAACCTCTCCCGAGTAACCTCTCCCGAGGTTCTGGCTAAGGGAAGGATCCATGGCCTTTGGTATTTAGATCTGTTAATAAGGTAAAAGCTCCTTCTGCCTGAGGCATTTTCACTGAGATAATTTATAGTCTTGTGTATCAGAAAATAAGCTTCTGAGGCTCAGTCTCTGACAGCTCCCTCACCTCAGGGCTTATCCTAAGGACAGAAACTTTCTAAACTTGATGAGCTTTGCTAACATCTCACTACCACACCCTCCACAGCATTAGGAGTCTAATTTCTCCAGGGAGAAGAGCAGCCTTCCATATTCCCCATAAACTCTGTTCCTCGAAATGTCAGCTGGAGACCATTCGGAGAACGAGGATTGGATCTTGAGTGAGCACAGGGATTTTGGCCACATAAAGTGTGTTCTGCCATCCGTAGAGAACATCCTTCCACAGCAGAGCATTTTTGGTGAGGGTAGGATAAAAGACTATCAACTGTGGGTCACTAACTCCCAAACTGCTTCATTTAGAAATGAGGACCTGGCCTCCAGATGGCAAAGAATCAGGGGAGCCAGATCCTTCGTGGGAGGCCTTAACTTCATTCTATTTTTTGTAGGAGGCTGCATGCCAGGCTTTGTCTCCAATGCCCCCCACCCCTCTAGCTCTTTGGACTCTCCCTCATGCTTTCTCCAGGTTTCCTCTACTTCCTCTTCCCTCCCTTCTTTCCCAAGCAAGCCTTGTCGTGGACAACGGCCCCTTTAGCCATCTGTGACAGCCTGTATGTGCGCAGCTCAGGAGCATCAATGGTACTTTAAGGTTAGGATTTCACCTCCATGCCTGCATTCCTGTGTTTCCAGAATCCAGAAAGGGAATACCAGCAGCATCATTCTTATTTTAAAATGAGAAAATTAAGGCTCAGAGAACAAAGGTAAATTATATAAGAGTAACAGTAGCAGTAGCTAAAAAAAAAAAAAGGATTGTTCTGATTTCTAGTCTTCTGCTCTATTCATACAAAAGCCAAAACAGTCACAATTCGTTGGCTAGCCCAGTTTCCCGAGGGCGAACCTGAAGGTGGCTCTGTGGCATCCGTCAAACTCACATATGCGTAGCCACTACCACCTGCTTTTCCCTCCTTGACCCCTGGGGCCAGTAGCTCAGCAAGGGAGGGAATGCACCTGCCTACTTACCTTGAGGTGATAGAGTACAACTCCTGTGCTGAGCACATCATCCTCCAAGGCCATCAGGTGTGGCAGGCTGGAGTCGATGACAACCCCAGCCTTCCTCCTGTTGATGTCCACTCTGTAATGCTCCACGAGGGCTTTCCACTCATTCCACTTCTGGGTCCACTCTTTGGTCAGCTGGTCTATCTGCAGTGATGGAGGACGTGGTCTCAGCGACTCAGCACGAGGTGCCCACTAAGTTCGGCTGTCATCCTGGCCCGATCGCGCCCTGAGCCTGTGTCACTTCCTTACGCTCCTCTCAGTTACAGTTGAAAGCCCCATGGAGGACCTTGCACCTCTGTGAGACCTCTGTGTTCTTAAAGTTTTCTTCAAGAAGCAAGTATTACTTTCAAAAAAAGAAACCCCCCAGAAATGGTATGTTCAAAGTTTTCTGCAACAAGCATGTACTGTTTTCATAATTGGAAAAAAATGCCATAAATGTTATTTTTAAAAGCTGATTGAGATGTTAGACATCTATAGTTCCCCTCTCCCCATCCCCCTTCTATGCGATCCATACTGAGAATCCTCTGTGACCTAACACTTCTTTCTCAAGGTGCAGCACGTGGAGTTGTAATGTAAATGTGTATACGTGGTTCTAAGACCACAGAGCACAAGAGGAGTCTCCCCAAGGAGAACTATATGAAACTGGTCTGAAACACCACATAGTAATAAAATAACAACAACAATAAAATCCTGAAAGCTTGTGATGCATCAGGATCAGAGTTTTAAAAATAAATATACTAAGACTTAGAGGGCTTAAGATCGCCTAAGGTATGTAAACAAACAATATGGACTGCAGAGTCCTTTTTTCTTCTTATGATGGAAACTCATGACCAGGCAGGAAGCTTATTATCCTGGAAATGGAAGAACTGGGAAACCCAGGAAAAGGAACTGGATTCCGCTAAATACTTCTCTCATAAATGGAATACCTAAGGAAAAAAAAAACTATGCCAAATTTAGGTACCCTACGAATTTTAAAAATGTTATTTTTAATGTCATAATTATTGAGCTCAAGTTTGGAAACTACAGCGGGATTGGGACCTGGCAGAGGTGAGAGGCAGGTGGCGCTGGCTTGCGGTTTGGCCCACCGGGCACAGCAGCCTGGAGGCGCGGCTGAGCACACCTCCCCTCCAGCGGTTCCGGCACTACCTAAGGTTGTAAGGCCCGCAGGTGGCAGGTTCAAGTCCACTTGAATTCTGCCAGCCTGTATAATGCAAAAATAAGCCTGGAATGATTTAGACTTTTCCACTTCATCTCTTATGTATGGAAGTATGATATTTTCTGAACCCCAAATCAGAACATATGGTTAAACACAAAATTTTTTTAGAAACTTCTGAATGTGTAATATAGTCCTAGAGTTTAGTTTGGGTAACAAAATGATGACACAGCCAGGACACTTTAATCACACAGAGGATGATTAATAGAATATTGGAAATTGAGACCTTTGGTTGCAGGATCTAAATTGAACCTGTCACCAAGTAATGCCTGCCACTTCTTTCCTTTTAAGGGTCTCTGGGAATCACCACTTAACCTAATCTCCCAAAATGTCTTGTCCCCGCTCTCACAGCGTCACGACAGCAGTCTCTTTCCTGGTTGGTCTCTCTGCTTCCAGACTTCCCTTCCTTCAATTCATCCTACATACAGCTGTCATATTCATTTCCCTACTGTACTCCTTTATTATGTCACCAACCTGGTTCAGGAAGCTGTGATCAACCCTATTTATGCCAAGTTCAAAACCCCTGCAGTGGCCCTCCCCTGACCTGCATACTCTATCAAGAGCACCTGCTCCCGCCAGCTTCGTTTTCCGCACACTCTGTGCTTCCACATGGCCTCCCACACCAGTTCACTCTCTCAGTTCCATGGCTTTGCTTATGTTTTCTCTTTTCCCCCTGCTACATACCTAACAACTATTAGCATCAAGGTCTATTTCAAGTTCTCTGACTTTCAGCTCCAGCAATATCATGCCTACACTGAAAATTCCAAGCCATCATGCTTTCTTCCCTCTGTAAGCTCTTTTGTCTCATTCATATTGTTTATTACATTTAACCATTCTCTAAATGTGTTTCCAACTACACCCCAACCCACTGGAGGGCAGGGACTACATTGTATCTCTTGCAGCATCATGCTGAGCACCTATTTGGAGCTCAATGAATACATATTGGTTGGTTGATTTACTGACTGGAAAGTAAATTTTATTTTCTAAGCTATTGTCACAATGCAAAGGGAGTGGCCATGAATTTTCGAGAGAACAAAACGAAGTCAGGAAGCTGGTCAACAGCCCTTCAGACAAGTGAATCCCCCATTCAAGACTCAGCGGAGACAAAAATTGTCTCCCAACTGGACAGAACCTCTGTGTCCTGTCGAGGGAGCAGCCCTGGCCCAGGAACGATGGAGGCTGATGTAAAACACAACTGGGTCCGTCTCACACACTCACCTTCAATTCATTCTGGAGAACCAGCTCCTTCAGATTTCCATCCTTCTCATTCAATGAACTGAAGTTTCTCTGCACAAAGAGAGAGATGTGTTTTGCAGGTCCCACCCTTACTCTTGTGAGGGAAGATAAGGTACAGATAAGGGAGAGACTTTATCATTAAAAATCATAAACAAATCAGAAGCCTAGGTATTTGGGCTCAGAGTGACACATAGAAGGTGAATTCAAAGAAATTTTGCTGGAGGGCCCCATCCCCGTATCTCCCCCACACATAGAGTGTGGGCCAGCAGGCAAATGCCCTGTGGACAACAGAGGTGATACAGTGAGAGGATGTCTGCCCCATCTGTGTGAAACTACACAGGTAATCAGAGTAATCCCCGTCCGGCCTTTGCACCTGCCCCTGCTCCACAGGTGTCCCTTAAATGCGAACACAACGAAGCAGGCTTAGATTCTGTGCAGGCGAAAAAGGGCTCTTGAAGACACAAGCATTCTGACAGCCTGCATACCAGCTCGAAGCTCAGCAGCAAGGCTTTCAGTCTTCTAATCTCTTCCCTGAGTTCTCTGATCAACTTCACGTTTGCATCCTGAAAACACAGAGAACACCGTCACCACTGATTGATACCAGGCCCCAAACAGCTGTGAGATGCTACATACAATTAGCTTGGAAGAAGTCGCTTACTCCTTTGGAGTACCTTCTGTGACAGTCTTCTTAAAATGTGGTCCCAGGACTAAGAACTTGTTAGAAATACAGATTCTGTCCCTATCCAGCACCTACTAAATTAGAAACTCCTGAGGGCTGGGGCCCAGCTGTGGCTTCATACGCCCCCCAGGAGATTCGTGTGCACACCCAAGTTGGAGAATCACTGTCCTAGAGCAGGAGGTCAGGCAGGCAACACAAATGCCAGGGCATGTACAGACAGTAGGTGCTGATCTTTCTGTATTGTGACTAAACTTAGTATCTAGTTACATTGCCTTTTAAAATAGTCCATAGATGGGCTAGATCTGTCTGGCCACCCGTTTGTAATCCCTGCTCTGGAACTCTTCACTGAAATTACAAAGCAGATAAGGATTTTTTGGAATATTCTCATTATTATTCAGCTTTCAAAACTAATGAATTTATTACACGCCTCTTTTAGTCCAAAACAGAGACGTAATGACAATGAGCATAGGAAAAAAATATATAAGCATACAGCAACATAAACTCAGAATAAAATTAGTAAACAGAAACTTTTAAATAATTTTCCTTAGACAATGGTACACCAAGGATGTTAAGAGGAATGGTCTTAGAGAAATACTAAAATAAATTATTCATAAAAGATTATAAATGAAGTCAGTGGAGATATGAGAAAGGACTATAACACTAGAAGAATTTCAATCCCTCATCATTCAGAGAACAAGTTTGGCAAGTTGGGGTGAGTTCAAAAAGAAAGACACCCATGAGAGGAATACAAAAAGGAGAACTTTGTGTAAAGTGTAAGAGATCAGGACTTGAGATGAAGGTCTCACCTCATTTACCCGTGGCTTGTTGATGATGTTCTTGGCATTGGATGCATATCTCAGTGTGCTCATGGTCTCACTGTAGCTAGTGTGCGCAGGAGACACGGCTGAGGTACAAGGAGAAAGTTAAAAAACAGGCCAAGCCCTCTCAGAGACCCTTGATGAAATGGGTGGTCAGGGCTCTTTCTCTGAGGCACAGTACCAGTCCCAACAGTTCTCAGTCCCAACAGAGAACCAGCCCCGACATCCCACTCACTGGCAACCATGATGGTTTTCGAGTTGCCTCCAAGGCTGTCCTTCAGCAGCCAGGTCAATACGGAGTCCCGGTAGGGGATGTAAGACTGCCTCCGGGAGGGTCCCCCTCCATGACTGGTCCCAGAAGGAGAGCTAGGAATCCCATTGTCACCACCGTTGCTGGTTACACTGTTGAGACTCTGGCAGCTGCTGAAAACTTGAGAGTTCTGGGCTTAAAAGACAAAACATAAAAGTAGGAGAAAAAAGAAATTCTGAGACAAATGCATTAAAGAAAGCAATCGTTGGGGAGTACAGACTAAAGTACCACACTGCTTAATCCCTTTCTGCATAAGGTAAGATGCTTTAAATTTGAGCCATGAATTAGGCTTTGGACTATGACATGGAATATTTGAGCCACACAATTTTTTAGTCTCCTTCTTCCTCAAATGAGAGTACAGGGATGATGGCCAAGTTATGTTCTAAAACAACAGATAAATACCAATTCTGATGCCCCAAACCAGAAGGTAGCTATATCAAAAAGAACCTGGTGTCTACATTTTTGACAAAATGAAAATGCGTGAGTTGTTCTCCAAAGTGTCCCTCCCACTCTGATGACCCAGTCTATCAGCCAAATACCTAAGGTGGAGATGACAATTCCCAGAGTCACGAGAGACTTGTTGATATTGGCTCCTTCTGTAATCCGGTCTTTACAGTAACTGGGGTCCGCTCTTTCACTAAAAGTCAATAAAAACAAAAACAAAAGCAAACAAGACAACACTATACTTATGATGCTGCTCAAATGTACTACCCATTAATGTGGTTCATCATGTAAAAGACCCACATAATAAATTCCTTTGAAAATTGAATTCCAGATTTTAAAAAAAGTTACCATCTTGTAATGAACTAGCTGGCATTCTTCTGCCCCTCAAGCATTAAAAAAATCAAATAATTCTTTACAGTTTTTTTTTTTATTTTGGCTGCCAGAGTACTTTCAGCTAAATGTAATACTTATTTACAGTAATTGTATTAGCATAGCTTTATTTAGCCTAACGTGCAGCCTAGGCATTGGGAATTTCAAAAGATACTAGGTGATTTTAACAGACAGCTAAGATTGAACTTTTCACTCCTAGAAACTATAATTTCTCAACTTAACATTCAAAGAATTTGTTGCTTTTATAATTTCCTCAGGAAAAATGAAATATGAAAAAGGTTGGAACAAGTTTATTCCAAATAAAATGGACAAGAACAAGGTCATTGCCAAGTGGTCATTCCCCCTTGGCTTTGAAATCCTAATTACCTGCCTGCTAGGTCCACAAGGTTGATCTTGCTCGTGATTTCAGAGGGGAGGTTGTTCTCCAGAACTGCCTGAGATAGAAAATACATTTAAATCTTGTCAGCTGGAATAATGTGGTTTCCTTCCCCCTTAGACACCCTCCTAACCAAGGTGATGTTTCGGATTTTTAGCCTACTCATTCAAAAATATCCGTATTCAGACGTGCCAGATGAGATCTCAATATCTGATAGATACAATCAGTAAGCTCCAGGTACTTACTTCACTAAAAATATGAGCAGGGCTTTCACAGAAAAACTGGGCAAATCCTCACCAAGTCCTCTGAGCACAGTTTTCAGGGGCACAAAGAATTTTAGTACAATTTACCAGGCAAATAATCCAGTCCCCTCGAGGGGACTCGGGCTCTCGCAGCAGGCTGGGCCCCTGATGGAGGTTTGGTTTGTCCCTCTTGTTGACCTGAGTCACATCAGGTTAACTGGCTAAGGCAGCAATTGTCAACCTTTTTCATATCATGGCACATACAAACTAATTACTAAAATTCTGTGGCACACCAAAAAATACATTTTTCACCAATCTGACAAAAAAAAATTTTGATTCATGCACACTGGATGGCTATCATTGTGTTGGCTGTTATCATTTATTTTTTTCATTTGACAATCTAAGGGAAAAGATGTCAGTGCCCCTGACTAAATACTCAGAAACTGCACGTTTTAAAAGATCCTGCAGCGCGCCCATGTGCTGTGAACACAGGGCGAACATCGCTGGGCAAGAGAGCAAGCGCTCTGCCTCGCTCTATTCCATTGAGGGCATCCAGCCCTCAAGAGCAAAACTTTTATTTTTTCTTAAATTCAACGTGGGTTTTTGTTGTTGTTTTAATGTTGTACATCCATCGCCAAAATCCAGCTTTAAAATAGTCTCTAGTTTCCCTCAAGTGTGTTTGCAATCGGTCTCCATTCTCATCCCCAGCCTGAGGCAAACACTCATCAACTTTCTGTCTTTATACATTTGTCTTCTCAGGATATTTCATACAAATAGAATCATACAACATCTGGCTTCTTTCACTGTGCATAATAATCTTGAGATTCATACATTTTGAGGTGTTTATCAATAGTTCATTCATTTTTATTCTGAGTAGTATTCTATTGCATGTTTTTTTTATCCATTCACCTCTTGATATGGACTTTTGGGTTGTTTTCAGTTTTGAACAATTACAAGTAAATTTTATAATTTATGACAAAAATATATCTTATACAAGTACAAATTTGAATATTTGTGTACAATCTTTCTATGGACACATTTTTTCCTTTGGAAAATACCTAGGACTGGAATGGCTGGACCAAATAGTAGGCATATATTTAATTTTTTTAGAAACTGCTAGAATGTTTTTCAACAATTGTACCACTACACCAGTAGTGTAGTGTATGAGAACTCCAGCTCCTACACATCTTGCCACTATTTACAATGATCATTTTTTAATTTCAGCCATTTTAAAAGGTAAGTAGTGATATCTCATTTGGTTTTAATTTGCACTCCCTAACAGTTAATGACATTGGGCATCTTTTCAAGTGTTTAGTTGCCATTTGTATATTTTCTTTAATAAAGTATTGGTTCAAAAATTTTGCCCATTGTTTTTTTAAAGATTTTATTTATTTATTTTTAGAGAGGGGAAGGGAGGGAGAAAGAGAGCAACACATCAATGTGTGGTTGCCTCTCGTGTGTCCACTACTGAGGACCTAGTCCGCAACCCAGGTATGTGCCCTGACTGAGAATTGAACTGGCAACCCTTTGGTTTACAGGCTGGCATTCAATCCACTGAGCCACACCAGCCAAGGCTAGTTGTTCTCTTATTGAGTTTGGAGAGTTCTTTATATATTCTGGATACAAGTCCTTTATCAGATGTATGTTTTACAAATAAATTTTCCAATCTGTGGCTTTTCTTTTTATTCTCTTATAGTGTCTTTCAAAGAACAGAAGTTTTAAATTGTGGACACTTCCAAATTTCAATTTGTTCTTTTGTTCAGTTTGTATTGTTAGTGTCATATCTAAAAAACCAAACTTTGCCTAATCTAAGGTCACAAAGGTTCTCCCATGTTATCTTCTATAAGATTAATAGTTTCAGGTTTTACATTTATGTCTATGATCCTGTTTAATTTTTTTATTGTTGCTCAAGTACAGCTGTCTCTATTTTCCTGCCACAACTTTCCCCTGCTCACCCACCCCCATTAGTTAATTTTTTAAATAGAAGTCTTGTTTTATTTTTTTAAACATATGCATACTCAATTATTCTACCACTATTTGTTGAAAAGACTAGACATTCTTTATTAAATTATCTTTGCCATTTTATTAACAACCAGTTGCTTATATATGTGTGGGTCTGTCTGTCCCATTGATTTATTTATCTATATTATTGTTAATGTCAGACTATCTTGATTACTTAGTTTTATGCTATAGATAGTTTATCCTAGAGAATGTTCTATATGCGCTTGGAAATAAGTGTTCTATAGGTGTTAAGTGGAGTAGTCTTCTAATATAAGAGAAATTAGTTAAAAATGTTGCTCAAATCTATATCCTTATTGATTTTTGTCTAGTTGTTCTACCAGTTACTGAAAGCGGGACACTGAAATCTCCAACTATTGTTATTGACTTGCCTATTTATTTCTCTTTTCAATTCTGTAAATTTTTCCTTTGTGTATTTTGGGACTCTTGTTTTGAGCTCACACATTTGAAGTTGCTGTATCTTCTTGATGTGTAAACCCTTTATCATTATGAAATATCTGTCTCTAGTATTTGTTTTAAAACCTAGTTTTTGTCTGATACTAAGAGTATTCTTGCTCTCTTACGACTGTTATTTATATGGTGTATCTTTTTCCATCCTTTTCCTTTAACCTATCTGTATCTTTGAATCTAAGGAGTGTTTTTTGTAGACAGCATATAGTTGGGTCTTGCTTTAGTCTGATAATTTATACCCTCATCCATTCACACTTAATATAATTATTGATGTTGTCAGAATTTTATCTATTGTTTTTCTATTTATTTTCTATATGACTCATGATGTTTGCCCTTGTGTTCCTCCTTCTCTGCCTTCTGTGTGTTAAATAAGTATTTTTAGTATACTATTTTAATTCCTGCTGATTTTTAAATTATAATTTTGAACTACTTTCTTAGTGCTACTTAATTACTTTCCTGCTCTACATATCAGAACATGCATCTTAACGTACCATGATTGACTTCAAAATAATACTAACTGAATTCTAACTAGAATATAGAAACTTTACTCCAATATATCTTCTTTTCCTCCTCACTCCTTTGTGCTATTAGTCACATATATGACAATGTGTGCGTATGATGTACAATAATACAGATTATATTATTGTTTTATACAATTTTATTATTTTAATGACATTAGAGGAAATGAGGAAGAATATAGCATTTTATTTTAGTCTGAAAGATTTCATTTAGTGTTCTTGTAAGGTAGGGCTGCTAGCAACAAATCTGGTTTTTTGTCGTTTTTTTCTTTGTTCAATATAGGAATGTTCTTATTTCATCTTCACCTTTGAAAACTAGTTTTGCTGCATATATAAATCTTGGTTGACAGTTGTTTTTATTTCATCACTCTGTTTTCTGGGGTCCAATGTTTCTGATGAGAAGTCAGCCATTAATCATGTAATTGTTCTCCTGTAAATAATGAGTCACTTTTCTGTAGCTGCTTTCAAGAGTTTCTCTTTTGCATTCAACAGTTTGACTGTGATGTGCCTGGATATGACTCTTTCTTTGTGTTTATTTTACTTGGAGTTCTTAAGCAGCTTAGATCTCTAGATTAATGATTTTGAATAAATTTGGGGATTTTTTTCCAGCCATTATATTTCAAAGTTTTCTTATAACTATCCGCTCTTCTCTCTTTCTGGAATTCCCATTACACGTATGTTGGCAGACTTGATTTTGTTCCACAGGCCTGAGCATCTCTGTTCATCTTCCTTCAGTTTTTACTTGTCTTCTTCAAATTCTTCTGCCATCTCAAATCTGCTATTGAGTCCCACTAGTGAATTTTTCCTTTCAATTATTGTACATTTTGATTCTGTAACTCCCATTTAAAAAATAATTTATATCATTTTAGTGAAATTCCCTAAAGTCATTACCATCATGGTTTCCTTTAATTCTTTTTTTAAAGATTTTATTTATTTATTTTTAGAGAGAGGTGGAGGGAGAATGAGAAGGAAAGAAACATTCATGTGAGAGAGAAATATCGATTGGTTGCCTCTTGCATGTGCCCCAACTGGGAAATGAACTGGCAACATTTTATTTTGCGGGACAATACCCAACCAACTGAGCCATACCAGTCAGACTTTTCCTTTATTCTTTAAAATGGTTTCCTTTAGTTCTTTAAACATAAACATATTTATATTAGCTGCTTTGGAGCCATTGTATGCTAAATCCAAAATCTGGAACACTTAGAGTCAGTTTTTATTGAGTGTTTTTTTCCTTAAGCATGGGCCACACCTTCTTGTTTGTTTTTCCATGTCTAATACTTTTTTGTTGAATACTAGATATTTTACATAATATATTGTAACAACTCTGGATTCTAATTTTTTCCTATTGAGGGTGGTAGTGGTGGTTGTTTTGTTTGGTAACTTGCCTGGACTAAATCTTTAACATCTGTCTCTCTCACAATATGCAGCCAAAGCAGTCTCTGTAGTTTCTTTCCATAGTTGTTTTTAATTTTAAGCTCAGCTTCTAAGGGGCCAACCTGTGTTTGTATGGCTTAGTGTTCAGCCAAAGATTGGTCAGAAGTTGTAATCAAATACCTTGAACTAACAAGACTTCTTCTCTGTTGATGGATCTATGCGTGAGCTGCGGAATAAATTAAAAGTTCTGACAGTTTTTAAGCTTACCCCAGCATCCACTAGCCACAGGGCCCTCTTGTGTCTTCTCTGTACATATGTGCAGATCCCTCGAAGTCAGGGCTGTGTGGGTGGCTTGAGCCTGCTTAGTCTCAGCTGGGTGTGACAGCTTCGATTCCTCAGGATATGAGGGGGTCTTATCAAAAGCCACTATGGCTGTGTCATCTCTCAGAACCCCTGTTAAGCCCCCAAATAATCTGCCAGTTCATTTCTTGCCTGAAACAGACCCACAATCTCAGGCTAATGGAGGCATTGGCCGTCCTTGTTCACTTACCACTGAGATTACCACTTTAACTGAAGAAACTCCAAATCAATACCCCTGGGCAGTGGCAGGAAGCAACAAAACTGGTGGTTTTCACAACCTTCCCTCCCCTGATAGACCCGCCTCATTGACAGAGATTGGGGTGTGGGCCCAAAACAATATTCTTACTTGCAATTCAGTAGTTTTCTTGAATATGTGCTTCCCAGTTTATTATATGGTTGCTTTTAATAGTTTTGTCCAGCTTTATGGTTGCTTTTTGGGGACAGGATTTGTTGACCTCCTCATTCTATCATAATGGAAGTGAATCTTTTACTCTTTCATTTTAATGCTTGTTTTCAATTCAGTCTTGCTTTTTGTTTTAAACGTGCATATGGACCACACAGGTATGAAAGTGCTTTGAAATGTTAAAAGTAAAATGTAAGTAGAAGATATTTTGATTAATCTTATTAAATGCTTCTACTCTTTCTAGGTGCACAGCTTAACAGACCTATAAATGGATGATGTCAAAAGGGACAAGGAAAGGAAGAAATCTAACCAAGTATAAGAGGTAACCAACCTGAGTATAATGAATAGTGAAGATGGCATGAGATCGGCTGCTGGCCTCATGGACATGGGTAGCTGCTGTGATTCTGTGTATACAAGGCAAGACAATTAGGACGAGCATTGTTTATGCATGGTGAATCCTTGAGGATCCATGGGGAACACAGGAAATGTTAGTGCTGAGGTTCACAGATGAGAATCATGAAGCATCCATATTTAGTCCAGTACACTTAGGAGAGCGGTCCAATGGTGGCAGTGGCGGTGCTCTGGTTACTGATATTTGAGAATAAAAGAGAATGTATCTTCATGATAAGCAACATTAGAACTTTTTTTTTAAGCAACAGAAACAAAATCAACAGTTGAAAAAAAGAATACTAAAGAGTACTCAACCTGGAAAGACAGACCTATTGAATTAGACAAAGGGAGGTTAAAGGACTTGTTGGAGAAGAAGCCTCAAAGAGAGAGAAAGTTGTGATTATACATAGAATATTAATCTTATAGTGCCAGGAAGACCTTTGAAATGAGATCTGGAATTATGTCAATGTCAAGCTGAAGCCAGATGGAATTCACAGTCCCCCTTGGAAAGTCATTCCAATGTGAAGTCAGGAGAGCCTTCCCTTTATCTAAATCTACGTCAATAATTCTTCAGTTTAAGACCATCTCATTATTAGTAAGAGGAGCACTAACTCTTAAATCCCTGCACCTTACAGTGGGTACGTTACTGTTCTGAGAAAGGCCTCCTGATTATGAATGCGGGGAGCTGCGGAGACAGGAACTGTCATACATGCCGAAGAGGGAGGAGAATACAGGACTGAAAAATGAGGCTGAAAAGAATGATAGGGACAAACGAATCTGTTACCTGTTTGCTATTCCCTCCTCCAAGAGCTGAATTACTTGCTTATAGTTGGTAACTACATGTTGAGATAAACCTATCAGATTTGTGAAGGAGAAAAAAATTAAATAAAAATTTTTGGTAAAGTTTAACTTTTTCCTGTAGGTCTTTAACTTCATTTCTATTTTATATAACTTAATATACATGGGGGAACTTGCTAAATCATTCAGGTAATAAATTAAATCAACAAATATTTACTGGAAACCCAGGGTTAGGCATTGTGATAGGCTCTAGGAACATAGGTCCCTGCCCTCACAGAGATTATAGTGTAAGACTAATTCATAGAGTAGTTATGTCAACAACAAGCAAACAATAACAATAGGATTCCTTACAATTTTGCTATGTAGGTTATCCAAGTTTTCATATATTACTTCATTTGGTCCTTGCTAAATTCTTAAAGTATATAGGGGCCATCTCCCCACAAAATGACAGACTCAGTTTGGCATACAAAAAATACAGTGCCCACGACCCTATGTTCCCCACGGTTTACAATCATGAGAAGTTACACTATACATGGTAATCTGGCCAAGTGCCACAGGAGTTGGGTAATGAATGCTCAGAGAAGTGGGCAGGGAAGACACCACAGGGGAAGCGAGACCTGAACTTGGCCACTGCAGAATGAGGAAGATCTGGACAGGTGGAGAGCTGCATGAGGACACGAAAGGGAATTTTATGACTGGTTACTGATCAAATCAAAAAGTGCCTTCATAACTTTGCTGGAGAATCCCTACATTACACATTCAGGAGCAAAGTAACTAACTACACAGGCTCATTGCTGAATACATTTGCACTAAAAATTAGCAAACTAATTTGAACATTGACTAAAGTTTTTTTTTTTTTTTGTTAAGGAATCATTGTTATTATTTAGATGTGATACTAATTTTGTGGTTATGTTTTATTGAAAAAACATTCCTTATCTTTTAGGGCTACAAAATAAACTGTTTGCAAGTGAATTAATGTGACATCTGAAATTTGCTTCAAAATAATACAGGATGGGGGAAATGGACAGGAATGTATACGGAGCAGAACTGGCCAAGGGTCAATGGTTATTGTCGGAGCAGAACTGGCCAAGGGTCAATGGTTATTGTAACTGGGTAGTGGATACATGGGGATTAATTACAGTAGTCTAATTTTGTGTATGTTGAAAATTCTCTATATTAAAAAGTTTTAAAAATGTGACCAAGGATGGAGACCTTCTGCTTTTGGTAATAGCAAATTAGATAATACAAACAAACTCTTCCACCAAAGGCCATTTGAAAAGCTGAAAATGGGAATATATCCAAAGGAAATGAAAACACTATCTCAAAAAGATATCTGCTTCCCCATGTTTATAGTAACATTATTCACAATAACCAAGACATGGAAACCAAAGTACCCATCAAATGGATGAATGAATAAATAAGTTGTGATATACAGGGTGCAGAAGTAACGCCTGCTTGAATATGATTGGTAGGATAATATTATGGGTGTAATAATTTATAGCTTTAATTTGAACATTTCACCTAAAATGTCATATGGTGTGCTTGAAAGTGATATTGTTATGTTACAGAATTACATGCTTATGATTTTGTAATAAAAGATTTTGTGATTAAAAAGGGGTATTATTTGTGCCAGACCCTGTATATGTTCCCCCAAAACGGAATTATCTTCTGGAGGGCAGGACCCTTGTAGTACAGGCTTCGCCCACTAGGTGAGTGCTCTAGAAAAGCATCTGTGTCAGTGTACCATATGGCGTTGTTGTGAGAGGCTGCATTCGGCTTCAGTGAAATTTTTTGGAAGACTGTCAATGCATTTGCCCATTTCATGATGGAAGATTTATGAGCGCACCTGCCTATATCACACTGAGTGTTCAGCAGTTTTAGACCAAAAAAGGTATGGCTCCTGTGCCCCATCCTCCCTATTCACTGGATCTTGTCCCGAGCAACTTTTTTTTTTGTTTCCCCAGATGAAAAAAGTACTCAAAGGGAAAAGTTTTGCCGATGTGGAAGAGGTGAAACAAAAAAACAGCACAAGCACTGAAAGGCATCAAAACTGATGAGTTCAAAAGCTGTTTTAATGAGAAGGGAGAAGATGGCGGCCAAGTAGATGGAAGCTGAGTCCATTTGTTCTTGTTCTCAACTCAGATTCTTGGCGGATCTTCTGACAACCTGAACAATCAACAGAATCTTAGCTGATACGAAGTTTGGGAGCCAAGGAGTACAGAAGACACTTTACAACAGGCAGTAAGGAGATTAGGTAAGAGAAAGGGGAAATGCCCCATGCGTGGCGCCTGTAGCTGTGAAGAGACTAGTCAGAAATCGCATAATGAAGACAAACATATTTGAACAATAAAATTTTTTTTAAAAAATCTTAAGGAATTTAGCTAAATCCATAAATAAATAAGACCCTGTTAAATGAAAAAAAAGAAAGAAAGAAAAAGAAAGAAATCGCAGCTTTGTGGCTCCCTCCCCTCCCAGGGCAACAAACCCCCAGACCTGGGCCAGGAGTGACTTAGGAGGATATACAAAGTCAGGCAGACCCATGCCACACACAAACAGGGAGCAGCATGTCCATAGCTGCAGCGCCAAACGCCAGCTGGGAGAGTGCCAGAGACAGAGAGAGAGAGACTTTATCTCCCAAAAGGATTAGGGGCCGCACCTGGGTTGCGGAGAGGCTGCGGCCAGCAATGACCATGAGGGACTTCTGGCTTTTTCGAGACTTGTGTGTGGAAAACTGGACAGGGACTCAGTACTGCAGTGGGGGTGCCACAGAGAGAGACTTTTTAAAAGGGGAGCTGAAGAGTGCTGGGCAGGGACCCCAACGCAGCTGCCCTCTCAGTAGAGGGACAAGACTGAAGCACAGTTCGCTCCCACTGAATACAGCTGGGTAGAGAGATCAGAAAGTTGCACAGCAAAGGGATTTCTGGGCCCCAGCCCAGTGTGGCAAGCAAGCCGGGGGCTATGCAAAATGGAGAATTAGGGACTGTGTCTACTGCAAGGGCAGTGGGCTGGGAATTGGATGAGCAAGAGCTGAGTGCCTGAGATTATTTACAGCCAAGCAGAACCCCCTTCCCCAGCAGAGTTTAAACCTCTGGGAAGGGAAGGACATACCCAATCCCCACCTCATGCCAGACTGAAAGCACCGCGGCCAATGAGGAAGCTCTGCAGAACTGATAGGACAGGCTAGTTCTGCAGGGTTCATATCCGCAGCATAAAGACAGGAAGAGAATCACCTAAAGGGCCCATTTTCTACTGCTCTCAGTCAAAATACACTGGTTTCTAGGGCCCTATTCCACTGAGGCCAGCAAAGCAGGGAGATCAGAAATCCTGTGCAGCAAGGGGGAAATCAGCTGCCCAGCCTCAGCTTGCATACGGAGCTGCCATCAGCACCAAGCAGGAATGAACTGACCCTCTTACACAGATTGGCCACTCCCTTGAAATGGACAGCTATTTAATCAGAACCTATACATTATTGAAAATATGCTGGAGCAAAGCAAGACGGGTGGCGCAGGGGCAGGGGGAGCACACCCACAATTTTCCCAAAAGATTGAATAGTGCTTCCATGGGAAACCCAGGCGCCCTCCCCCAACAAATCGCAATAGAAGTCCCATGTAGAGGTAGGTGAAGGTGGTACTTTAGTGCTGCCAGAAGTTGGATGACCTACCCCTAGACCTTGAGCTGAAAAAAAGCCAGAGACCAATCCAGAAGACAGAAGGCAAACACCAAACTCTGCTGAAACAAATTCCACCTCATTCTTCTCCAGAATTTGCATTATTTTTTCTCTCACCTAGCTGTGTAACATTTCTTTTTCTTCAATTGTATTCCAACTGTAATGGGGCACAACCAGGGGCCCTCCAAAGGGTATTTGTAATGGGGTCCAGAGATTGGGGTGTCCAAGAAAAATATATTCTCCCCCACGGCAGGCCGCCATGGGGGATGGAAGCCTTGAGCAGGGCTTTGGAGAGTCATTTTGCATGTCAATAACAGGATAGCTTCATTCCTCATATGCAAAGAGGGTTATTTTGCATATCACCAAAGCTAATCAGAAAAGTTTCAAAGACTTTATACAGAATGTAACTGGAAGAAAGGGAGGAGAGACAGGAACCTGCAGGAGAGACAAAGGAACACAGACTCTAGGGAACAGTGTGAAGACCACGCTGGAAGAAAGAGGGGAGAAAGGACTCTTGCTAGTGGGCCATGAGAAAGCGCCACATGGTTATGGATTAAGAGCTGGAGATCGCGGCGATGCAGTGGATGGTGCTGAGACCCACGAGAGGCCTGCCTAGCCGAGCCCCGGTCTTCTGTTCTTTTCTTTCTTCTGAAGGATGGTACCCTGACTGGCCTGACTGGCCTGACTGGGCAAAGGACGGTGTGTGTGCTGGTGGTTGTTTTGAAGGGATTTTGAGGTTTAAGGGTGATATTTAGCCATTAATCAAACCTGTATAACTTTTGAATAAATAGTTCCTTTTTCTTTTCACCAAACTCTGCCATTCAGAGCCATAATTCCAAGGGCAGCAGGCAAAGGACCCACAACTGAGGGGTCCCGGGGAAGAAGGGTGTTGTTGTTTCGGTAATAGCATCTGGCCACCCCCGCCCCCCACGGGTCCTTTTGTTCGGTAACACAACTACTTCACTATATTTTATTCTTTAGTTTTTTATATTTTATTTTTATTTCATATCTCACATTGTACCCCTCCCTGTCTTACTCCATTTTGCCTTCTTCATGCCCTTTATTTTTTATTTTAAATTTTATTTTCTCCCCTTTCTATGCCTTGTTCCTATTCCTTACTTTTACTATTCCTCCTCCTGCTTGTCCTCTCAAAATCATTTTTTTCCTTCAATCAGCTCACATTCTCTTTCCCTTTCTTATAATATTCTTATTTTCTTTCCACTTTTATTAACCATTGTTTGGTGTGGATATTGCAGTTATTGCTGTTTTTCTTCAATTTTATTCTTAGTCACTATTTTTTTTATTTCAAATCTCACAGGTTACTCTCCCCCTGTCTTACTCCATTTTGCTTTCCTCCTGCCCTTGCTTATTTAAGTTTGGAATTTTATT